ACAAACACACACAGATTCAGCACACGCACAGAGAAATACAAATTCAGCACACGCGCAGAGAAAAACAGATTCAGCACACACGCAGAGACAAACACAGATTCAGCACACGCGCAGAGAAACAAACACAGATTCAGCACACGCGCAGAGACAAATACAGATTCAGCACACACGCAGAGAAACACAAATTCAGCACATGCGCAGAGACGAATAGAGATTCAGCACTCGCAGAAAAACACAGATTCAGCACCCGCGCAGAGACAAACACACACAGATCCAGCACACGCGCAGAGACGACTACAGATTCAGCACACGCGGAGAGACAAATACAGATTCAGCACATGCGCAGAGACGAATAGAGATACAGCACTCGCAGAAAAACACAGATTCAGCACCCGCGCAGAGACAAACACACACAGATCCAGCACACGCGCAGAGACGACTACAGATTCAGCACACGCGGAGAGACAAATACAGATTCAGCACATGCGCAGAGACGAATAGAGATACAGCACTCGCAGAAAAACACAGATTCAGCACCCGCGCAGAGACAAACACACACAGATCCAGCACACGCGCAGAGACGACTACAGATTCAGCACACGCGGAGAGACAAATACAGATTCAGCACATGCGCAGAGACGAATAGAGATACAGCACTCGCAGAAAAACACAGATTCAGCACCCGCGCAGAGACAAACACACACAGATCCAGCACACGCGCAGAGACGACTACAGATTCAGCACACGCGGAGAGACAAATACAGATTCAGCACATGCGCAGAGACGAATAGAGATACAGCACTCGCAGAAAAACACAGATTCAGCACCCGCGCAGAGACAAACACACACAGATCCAGCACACGCGCAGAGACGACTACAGATTCAGCACACGCGGAGAGACAAATACAGATTCAGCACATGCGCAGAGACGAATAGAGATACAGCACTCGCAGAAAAACACAGATTCAGCACCCGCGCAGAGACAAACACACACAGATCCAGCACACGCGCAGAGACGACTACAGATTCAGCACACGCGGAGAGACAAATACAGATTCAGCACATGCGCAGAGACGAATAGAGATACAGCACTCGCAGAAAAACACAGATTCAGCACCCGCGCAGAGACAAACACACACAGATCCAGCACACGCGCAGAGACGACTACAGATTCAGCACACGCGGAGAGACAAATACAGATTCAGCACATGCGCAGAGACGAATAGAGATACAGCACTCGCAGAAAAACACAGATTCAGCACCCGCGCAGAGACAAACACACACAGATCCAGCACACGCGCAGAGACGACTACAGATTCAGCACACGCGGAGAGACAAATACAGATTCAGCACATGCGCAGAGACGAATAGAGATACAGCACTCGCAGAAAAACACAGATTCAGCACCCGCGCAGAGACAAACACACACAGATCCAGCACACGCGCAGAGACGACTACAGATTCAGCACACGCGGAGAGACAAATACAGATTCAGCACATGCGCAGAGACGAATAGAGATACAGCACTCGCAGAAAAACACAGATTCAGCACCCGCGCAGAGACAAACACACACAGATCCAGCACACGCGCAGAGACGACTACAGATTCAGCACACGCGGAGAGACAAATACAGATTCAGCACATGCGCAGAGACGAATAGAGATACAGCACTCGCAGAAAAACACAGATTCAGCACCCGCGCAGAGACAAACACACACAGATCCAGCACACGCGCAGAGACGACTACAGATTCAGCACACGCGGAGAGACAAATACAGATTCAGCACATGCGCAGAGACGAATAGAGATACAGCACTCGCAGAAAAACACAGATTCAGCACCCGCGCAGAGACAAACACACACAGATCCAGCACACGCGCAGAGACGACTACAGATTCAGCACACGCGGAGAGACAAATACAGATTCAGCACATGCGCAGAGACGAATAGAGATACAGCACTCGCAGAAAAACACAGATTCAGCACCCGCGCAGAGACAAACACACACAGATCCAGCACACGCGCAGAGACGACTACAGATTCAGCACACGCGGAGAGACAAATACAGATTCAGCACATGCGCAGAGACGAATAGAGATACAGCACTCGCAGAAAAACACAGATTCAGCACCCGCGCAGAGACAAACACACACAGATCCAGCACACGCGCAGAGACGACTACAGATTCAGCACACGCGGAGAGACAAATACAGATTCAGCACATGCGCAGAGACGAATAGAGATACAGCACTCGCAGAAAAACACAGATTCAGCACCCGCGCAGAGACAAACACACACAGATCCAGCACACGCGCAGAGACGACTACAGATTCAGCACACGCGGAGAGACAAATACAGATTCAGCACATGCGCAGAGACGAATAGAGATACAGCACTCGCAGAAAAACACAGATTCAGCACCCGCGCAGAGACAAACACACACAGATCCAGCACACGCGCAGAGACGACTACAGATTCAGCACACGCGGAGAGACAAATACAGATTCAGCACATGCGCAGAGACGAATAGAGATACAGCACTCGCAGAAAAACACAGATTCAGCACCCGCGCAGAGACAAACACACACAGATCCAGCACACGCGCAGAGACGACTACAGATTCAGCACACGCGGAGAGACAAATACAGATTCAGCACATGCGCAGAGACGAATAGAGATACAGCACTCGCAGAAAAACACAGATTCAGCACCCGCGCAGAGACAAACACACACAGATCCAGCACACGCGCAGAGACGACTACAGATTCAGCACACGCGGAGAGACAAATACAGATTCAGCACATGCGCAGAGACGAATAGAGATACAGCACTCGCAGAAAAACACAGATTCAGCACCCGCGCAGAGACAAACACACACAGATCCAGCACACGCGCAGAGACGACTACAGATTCAGCACACGCGGAGAGACAAATACAGATTCAGCACATGCGCAGAGACGAATAGAGATACAGCACTCGCAGAAAAACACAGATTCAGCACCCGCGCAGAGACAAACACACACAGATCCAGCACACGCGCAGAGACGACTACAGATTCAGCACACGCGGAGAGACAAATACAGATTCAGCACATGCGCAGAGACGAATAGAGATACAGCACTCGCAGAAAAACACAGATTCAGCACCCGCGCAGAGACAAACACACACAGATCCAGCACACGCGCAGAGACGACTACAGATTCAGCACACGCGCAGAGAAAAACGCAGATTCAGCACACGCGCAGAGACGACTACAGATTCAGCACACACGCAGAAGAAACACAGATTCAGCACACGTGCAGAGAAAAACACATTCAGCACACGCGCAGAGAAACACACAGATTCAGCACACGCGCAGAGAAACAAACACACACAGATTCAGCACACGCGCAGAGACAAACACAGATTCAGCACACGCGCAGAGACAAACACAGATTCAGCACACGAGCAGAGAGACAAACACACACAGATTCAGCACACGAGCAGAGAGACAAACACACACAGATTCAGCACAGGAGCAGAGAGACAAACACACACAGATTCAGCACACGAGCAGAGAGACAAACACAGATTCAGCACATGAGCAGAGACGAGCACACAGATTCAGCACACGAGCAGAGACGAGCACACAGATTCAGCACACACATTCCCTGACGATCTGAGATGGGACACTTACCACGATCCATTCGGCAATGTTCTCGTACAGCTCCGGGTTGAAGATGGCCTTCTTCAGGCGCGCCAGAGGACCATCGGCGTCCACCAGACGACACTTCATGAAGACATCGCAGTAGCCCTTGAAGTCATTGCAGGGCGAGCCGGCCTGAAGAGTGGTGACCTTCTTATTGAAGAAGCGAGCAAGACGTTCCGAGCCCGTACTGCTGCAGGTGCTGGGGTTCACTGCAGAACACACAGACGAGAGAGAGAGTGAGAGAGAGACTATTTACGCATCTCTTCAGAGGCTGAGTGAAATGTCAAAAGTGACCAAATTACACACAATGTAAAGAATAAAAAAATAAAAAAAACACTGGACACAACACGGTAGTGTTTATCACATAATTACATGTTTCCAGACGTGCTGCTGCTGGGATCAGACATGTGACGCTATCAGCTTCTGATAATTGATAAAACCTGAATTATCATAGCGAAATCCATTGAAAGATAAACTTCGCTATTGTTTTTAATGATGTTTTAGTTATTTTTAAACACCAACTGATATTAAAAATATGAAATCTAAATGAATATTTAAATAAATCCACATATAAATCATGATTTAAAGACAAGTGAATATGCAAAGTAGATTTGCATTTCATGTGAGAGCATTTTCTAAATAATGAAGTGTGTTGAGCAGGGGAGTAATAACCATCTTTAATTTAAGCATGGTAATTTAATTAGCTAAGAGGTGTTTATTACACAGCTCTCTATATGTGGTTCTGATTGGTCAGTCGCTGCCTTTAGTAATCAGATATAGTCACTGATAAAACAATCTTGTTTCATACAAATGCAACTGGCGCCATCTTGTGTTTCATTTAGCTACTGCACAGAAAAAAGGCTAGTTACAGTGCATATTGTGTATGCAGAATACATCCAAACAAAAATTAACTTGATTAAAAATCAGTGCTTTCATATTTACGGATAATACAGGAATTTGAATTTGGCAGCATGATCTCTATTAATCTGACGTGTACATTTGGTTCTGATTATTATAATCCTATATTATTATTAGTCATCATAATTGATAATTAAATTGTGTTGTGTTAAAGTGTTCTGAATCTTGACTTGTTGATGGAAATTAAGCTACCGTGAGAAAAAAATTAATGAAAGCAATTACAGTAATATGCTATCTAGAATTATTAGCTGTTTTGAACAGGAATTTGGCAAGTTTTGTTAAATTTAAGAGTTTAAGAAAAGAAATTTAAAAGGAATAAATTAAAGGGAACGATATGTCATTATGTTTTCTTAATTAGTTGTTTTAGCACCACTTCAATGTTTGAAAATACAACTTCCAACCAAATCACAATTGTTTTTTTCATTCATTAAAGTGTTAGTTCACCCAAAAATTAAATTTACCCCATGATTTCCTCACCCTCAAGCCATTCTAGGTGTGCATGACTTTCTTCTTTCAGACAAATCCAGTCAGAGTTATATTAAAAATTGTCTCGGCTCTTCCAAGCTTTATAATAGCAGTGGGTGGATGTTTCTGTTCAACAGTCCAAAAGAAGTCCAAAAAGCGCATCCATCCATCATACAAAGTGCCTCACATGGCTCCGGGGGGTGAACTAGGATGTAGCGTAAGGTCTGGTGAGAATATGCTAGTCTCGTGAGAACCGACGTTTGTTTACAGGAGAGAAGGAAGCAACGCTTTACTTTAGCAAAGGAAAACCAGTCTCCTCCCACATTTTTCTCTACAAATCCTCGTTTTATGCTTCTAATTCGTGATCAGTGTTTTGCTCTCTCTACATTAAAATAACTTTTACTGTACTTCTGATCACACTGCAAAATGTGATGTTCTTCCTCAGTATTTTAGTCTTGGTTTCCATTGCAAATGTCTAGATGCATATGATAAACAATGGGCTCTGAAAAATCTACTTAATTTAAAGAGAAACAAGTTTTCATTCCCCACTTTTTGTTATTTGTTCTTGTTTTAATCACAAACTCACTTCATTTTGCTCAGAAAACAAGACTTCATGTTCATTTTGTATTTTTGTATCTCAAGTAAATCTTGATTTAAGGATGTTTAGCCATTTGTACTGGAAAACAAGATAAAAATACTGAGAAAGATGTACATTTTTTGCAGGACATGCAACATTTACAGTGGGTACGGAAAGTATTCAGACCCCCTTAAATTTTTCACTCTTTGTTATATTGCAGCCATTTGCTAAAATCATTTAAGTTCATTTTTTTCCCTCAATGTACACACAGCACCCCATATTGACAGAAAAACACAGAATTGTTGACATTTTTGCAGATTTATTAAAAAAGAAAAACTGAAATATCACATGGTCCTAAGTATTCAGACCCTTTGCTCAGTATTTAGTAGAAGCACCCTTTTGAACTAATACAGCCATGAGTCTTTTTGGGAAAGAGGCAACAAGTTTTTCACACCTGGATTTAGGGATCCTCTGCCATTCCTCCTTGCAGAGCCTCTCCAGTTCTGTCAGGTTGGATAGTAAACGTTGGTGGACAGCCATTTTTAGGTCTCTCCAGAGATGCTCAATTGGGTTTAAGTCAGGGCTCTGGCTGGCCCATTCAAGAACAGTCACAGAGTTGTTGTGAAGCCACTCCTTCATTATTTTAGCTGTGTGCTTAGGGTCATTGTCTTGTTGGAAGGTAAACCTTCGGCCCAGTCTGAGGTCCTGAGCACTCTGGAGAAAGTTTTCGTCCAGGATAACATTAATGAGGAAAAAAAATTTACTTAAATGATTTTAGCAAATGGCTGCAATATAACAAAGAGTGAAAAATTTAAGGGGGTCTGAATACTTTCCGTACCCACTGTATTGCCATGACTTTATGATTTTAAGACTTTCTGTTCTGATTTAAAAACTTTTAGGGCCTTCATTTGTGGACTTTTTAAGACCTGCAGAAACCCTGCTTGAAGTGTTGCTGTGCATATAAATTTTCGTGAAATATCAGAATCTGTGCGTGTCACTGTGTGAAGCGGCTGCAGCAGGGGTTCTGTACTGACTCTTCTCCATGCAGCACACGTGGCAGAGCTCGGTCTCGTCTTTGCCATCCACGCTGGCACAGGTGCAGACCTCCAGCCCATACTTCTCACAGATGGAGCCAGAGCAGCCCTGAAACAGAGAGAGCAGGAGTGAGACGGCTGCTCGGTCACTGACACACACACACGTGAAGTAGGGCTGTGAAATTTTTTTTTCGAATTTAAAATAAAAATCGTAGGAATTGTAGGTGTGCGTCAGACAGCCTTATCAGTGGCACACGAGATGCGATGACGATGTAAGTGTCGTTGCATTATAATGTTTTTGTTAGCCTACACAGTTGAAGCCACTAGATGCGGCGCTGCTGCGTTGTTCATTACAAATATTGCGGGAAAAGAGAACATCAATGCGGAGAAGATCTTGTTTACATCAAAACTGAAACCAGCCGTTCACACAGAACACATTTTTCACGCATTTTCCAGAGGGATATCTATCAGCGTTGCACTCGCGTCTCGCACAAAGGAGCCGCATGTTTAGAAAGCCATGTGAAATTAATGCAAGTTCAACTTTGAAAAAAACATATCTCGAGACTTTATGGCGGGTTTTTTTCCCATCCCACGGCATCTCATGTTTTTAAATGAAAAATGTACTCTGTGATTGGCTTTACATGATGCTGTTTTGTTTATAGTTGTTTAAGCAACGTAATTATAATTGGTTTATAAACATTATTTTAAACATTATGCACTTTTTTCACAGATAGTCATGTTATCTTCTGCTTTGAATAAACGTGCATTAGTAATATTTTGCTCTTGTGGCCTCAAGAGAGAAGCCAAAAGCTTTTCTTCACCATAACTGAAATTATACATTTAACGTTTGAATATAATTCGAATTTTGATAATATTTAAGTACAAAATTCGAATTTAGTTTTTCAGCCATTCTGACAGCCCTAACGTGAAGATCACTCACCCCGTTCAGGCAGACCTGCGTGTCCCCGTGGCAGGCGGTGAAGTTGGCTTTGGGCTCTGATGTGGGGCACTGGGCCGAGGCACCGTTACACATGCCCCGATGAGCACACTCCGACTCCTCACGACACTTCTCATTACGGCTCTTGTAGGAGCACTCCCCCGTGCAGCAGGGACCCTGACTCGGACTGCACACCACACGGATCACATCATTCATGAGCATCAGATCAACACCTGAAACTAAATATCAATCCAATAGAAATCACAATGGAGAAACATGAGCTTTGTACCTGCAGACTTTGTTGGGCTTGAGTTTGCATTTCTTGTTGTCTGGCTGATTGGCGTCGTAGCAGCACTCGTCTTTACACTGATCGCTGTAGCCGCAATCACACTCCTCACCTGGCTCCACCAGACCGTTCCCGCAAATCGGCTGGCCGGACTCTGTCCCGCCACACACACACACACACACATCAGTACTCCAGTGGAAGACGATCAGGACTCGTGCCATCCCGTCGCTCTGAGACTCACCTACGAAACAGCTGCCGCGCTTCTTCTCCAACACCTGGCTGATGTTCTTAACGCTGCAGACGGAGAACTTGTTGTTATTCAGCTTGTCTCCAGAAGTGGCTCGCGCGTACATGATGTAGTTCCCTCGCTCCTTCTTATCCTGGCTCTTGGACTCACCCGGAGTGCACTCTGACCCGGAGTCATGCTGTGGACCATCATCATCATCATCACCATCAGCATCTTTAAAGTCTCACAGCTCTTGAGACACTGAGATGAATAATAATCTTTTATTTATTTACATTTACATCAGGGTTTTTGCTGGTTTTATGGAGGTCAATTTAAGACTTTAAGAACTTTTCAAAAAGAAAATGTAAGGAATAAATTGAATGGAACGCAGCATGTTCTTTTAATGAGTTGCATTATATACACTTCAGAGTTTAAAAATACAGTTTTCAATAAATCTCCATTACTTTTTTTAACCAGTCTAGTCTTAAATATCTCTGCTCACAATCACTAGAATATGACATAACTTTTACTGTATCTTCTGCGAAACAACTGCTGCTCTTCCTCAGAGTTTCAGTCTCGTTTTCCAGTACAAATGTCTGAAGACCCTTAAATCAACATACTGGACATTTACTTGAGAAGCAAAATGATGCAAGTCTTGTTTTCTGTGAATCAGATCATAATGAAGTGAGTTTATGAAAAAAACAAGAACAAATATATGGAATCAGAAAAATCTACTTAATTCAAAGGGAAACAAGTCTTCATTCCCCATTGGCAGATATCTGTTCTTGTTTTAATCATAAACTCACTCCATTTTGCTCAGTTTTTCAGAAATCTAGACATCATGCGTTCTTTTGCATCTCTTGCAAATGTATCTTGATTTAAAGATGTTTAGACATTTGTACTGGAAAACAAGACAAAAATTCTGAGGAAGAGATACATTTTAACAGCTAATTAAATTGATTAATTTAAGACTTTCTGCTCAGATTTAAGATTTTTTTAAGGCCTTAATTTGTGGAAGGACAAACTAAAACTTAAGACATTTTTAAGACCAGTCCAGCAGAAACCCTGAATGAATCAAGGAATAAATAAATCTGGTTGAAGTCATTAGTGTATCTGTTTTCAGACAGAAACATCTCCTCATGTCAGAGTGCCAGTGCAGTGACAGACACTCTCAAATAAGACACACGAAATGTAGTGATTTCAGCTCTGCTCCCTCTGGACCTTCATCAGGGATGTCTGCTGGATCTTCATCAGCACTCACCGGGGAACCGAAGTTGTGTCCGACCTCGTGAGCGAAGGTGATGTGTGAGACTTTAGGAGGCACGTGCGAGGCGTAGTTCTGCACCGTGATGATCCCAGTGTTCAGAGACTTCTTCTTCCCGTCAGAATACAGCTTATTCTTCTCACAGATTCCACCAGAGCTCCCTGAGAAACACACGGCAGCATCAGAACCAGCCTGATGGAGAAAGCGCTTCATCTGAAGGGAAATCTTAATTACCGGCTGGAGCGCCGACCCAGGCCAGACCCAGCACACCGTCGTCAAAGTCTCGGTCGGTGAAGACGTACGCCAGGCAGTAATCGTCATGATTCTGCTCCGAGTTCAGCTCCAGAAACTTCTCCACGCCGATGTTAGCGAAGCGGAAAGGGTTGGAGCGATCGCGCTCGTCACTGGTGGTGTTTATCTGAGACGAGACCAGCAGCGCTGTTAGAATCCAGCTGCTGTGCCTAAAGCTGGCTTATTAACAACTAAAACCACCAAAAAAACATTACTTAATTTAAAATAATATATATACAAATACACTGTATATATAATATCTTCAAAAATGTTATTTCAGCTAGTTTTATATTTCAACATTTCACATTTTCAAGTCAATATGGAAGCCCATTTTTGCAACATAAGAAAAAAAAATCATGCTTTGATAAATAATCATCATTAAATAATCACTCAAAATGCTTTATGGAAACATTTCCAACTTTTTATGTCATAATTTTGTCTGTTAAATATATTTATATTATATTATATCAAATATATTTTTCTTAAATATGATCTTTTTTCTCATGTGGTGGAAATGGGTAACGTACTAAAATAACAAAAATTAAAACTGAAATAAACTAAAAAACTAAAACTAAAAATAAAGACAATTAAATGACTAAACTAACTAAAATGATAACGGAAAATATTAAAAGAAAAAAAATCGGATCTAATTCAAAATACAAATAATATTAGTTACAAAAAATTTATTAATAACTAAATATTAGTTACAAACCAACTTGTGTGTATAACAGGGTTATTATTTACTAAAACTGAAATTATATTAAAAAAATTTTTTTATTAAATGTTAACTAGAAATAAACTATAAAAACACAATTTCAGCTAGTTGCTAAGACAACATTTCTCATTTTGTTTACTTTAAGTCGATATGGAAGCATTGTATATCACGTAAGGGGAAAAAGTCATGCTTTGGTAAATAATCATGACATTAAAAGTCATAATTCTGACAAAATCTGAAATTATGACAAAAAAAAGTCAAATATATGATTCAACAATGATTTCAACGAAAAAACTTAAAACTGAAACAATAGAAAAAAAGACAGCAATATGACTAAAACTTGAAAATTAAAATGATAATAGAACAAAAACTAACTCAAATTATTACTAAACAACATTATAATGAATGATGTGAACCATCTAGAAGCGATTAGAGTCCTCAGGTTCTGTCTTTCTCTGCACATGCACATTTTTTATTAAATGTTAACTAGAAATAAACTATAAAAACACAATTTCAGCTAGTTGCTAAGACAACATTTCTCATTTTGTTTACTTTAAGTCGATATGGAAGCATTGTATATCACGTAAGGGGAAAAAAGTCATGCTTTGGTAAATAATCATGACATTAAAAGTCATAATTCTGACAAAATCTGAAATTATGACAAAAAAAAGTCAAATATATGATTCAACAATGATTTCAACGAAAAAACTTAAAACTGAAACAATAGAAAAAAAGACAGCAATATGACTAAAACTTGAAAATTAAAATGATAATAGAACAAAAACTAACTCAAATTATTACTAAACAACATTATAATGAATGATGTGAACCATCTAGAAGCGATTAGAGTCCTCAGGTTCTGTCTTTCTCTGCACATGCACTTATATGACATGAAATCACCCGTATTCTCTTGACCATGAAGCTGATGTTGCGGATGCCCATGAAGTCTGTGCCCTGGTAGATGGCATCAATGGCCTTGACGTGACTGGAGATCTGCGCAGGAACACAGAGCATCATCATCATCATCATCACTCACTGATCTAGCTGTCTCCGCAGGTCAGGACGCACCTGAGCGATCACGGCCTCTCTGGTCTTGTAGTACTTGTAGAAGAGGTGATCGGTTTGGATGAAGAGCTGGCAGGTGTTCTTCTCCACCTGCGTCATCCTCTTCTTCCTCAGCAACACGTGATCCTCCTGAAGGGAAAGACAGATGCTTGTGCAGCTGCAGTTTCTCGGAATAAGGAGTCAAGCAGACTCAGATGTCTGACCTTGGCCGGTTCCTCCAGCGCCGACGCCTGATACTTCTTCATTCGCTCAAACACAGACGAATCTGCACAGCCGCCTTCCGGCCCGTATCTGTGCGGATACTCTGGATCACATGACAGAGAGGGACAGACCGTCAGCATGTTACAATCACGAAACCCAGTCAAAGCAGCAGCTCTCACGTCACTCTGAACACGAGCACCAGTGAGCAGGATCAGAGCAGTTAAACAGGAACATGTGACCGCTGGATGACCAATCAGAATCAAGTGCTCTAGAGAGACGAGCTCATTAGTTAAAATATGAACTAGCATTATCAATGTGCAATTGTTACAGTATTTATGAACATCAGTTAATCAAAATACAGCTGAGATTTATTTAATAATGTTAACAGATATAACTTTTTTTATTTTAATTGCGTATTAGTAATTGTTGAATATAACATTAACTAAGATTAATAAATGCTTTAAATACTTTTCATTGCTAGTTCCTGTTAACTGATGTTGACAAAAGGAAACTTATTGTAAAGTGTTACCAACAACTCAGCTTATGATTATGAACAGGGGCAATCAACCAATCCATCAGCACTAGGGATGTTCATTTCGGATATATTTCCTAACCGACAACCGACGCTCATTAACCGATTATTAACCTCCAAACCGACAAAATTATTTTAGAAAGGATACGTGTCTGTGACCCGTTAAAAAATACAAACATTTGTTTCCCGGGATTAATTTTACATGCGCAAAAAGCAGCAAACAACAGAACATGAGGATTCACATGGTCTTCATATCACATCACGCACCTGCAGCGCTTCTGCCAGCGGAGAAAAACATCATAAAGCTAGGCTATAGGCCTATATACAGTGGGTACGGAAAGTATTAAGACCCCCTTAAATTTTTCACTCTTTGTTATATTGCAGCCATTTGCTAAAATCATTTAAGTTAATTTTTTTTCCTCATTAATGTACACACAGCACCCCATATTGACAGAAAAACACAGAATTGTTGACATTTTTGCAGATTTATTAAAAAAGAAAAACTGAAATATCACATGGTCCTAAGTATTCAGACCCTTTGCTGTGACACTCATATATTTAACTCAGGTGCTGTCCATTTCTTCTGATCATCCTTGAGATGGTTCTACACCTTCATTTGAGTCCAGCTGTGTTTGATTATACTGATTGGACTTGATTAGGAAAGCCACACACCTGTCTATAAAAGACCTTAAGCTCACAGTGCATGTCAGAGCAAATGAGAATCATGAATTCAAAGGAACTGCCTGAAGAGCCAGAATTGTGGCAAGGCACAGATCTGGCCATGGTTACAAAAAAATTTAAGGGGGTCTGAATACTTTCCGTACCCACTGTATATAACGATAAATAGGCCGATACGAGAAACATATTTTTACTTAAATAATAAATTCAGAAAACGAAAGAAAACTGTGCAACAAGTAGCCTAGTACGCAGAGTTTTGGTTCATTTTTGTGCTGCGCGAAAGGAAACAGACGACAGAAAGCGGCTTCCTATTTTTCGTCAGGCTTATTTTACAAAAGCACAAAGATTTGTTTTTATTGTGAATGTACACAAATAAAGGCAAACCTTTTACAATTCCGATTATCTTTATGACTAAAAGGAGTAGTTTCTTCCACTGTTAGAGGGAAAAAACTCGATACGAGAAACATATTTTTACTTAATAAATTCAGAAAACGAAAGAAAACTGTGCAACAAGTAGCCTAGTACGCAGAGTTTTGTTCATTTTTGTGCTGCGCGAAAGGAAACAGACGACAGAAAGCGGCTTCCTATTTTTCGTCAGGCTTATTTTACAAAAGCACAAAGATTTGTTTTTATTGTGAATGTACACAAATAAAGGCAAACCTTTTACAATTCCGATTATCTTTATGACTAAAAGGAGTAGTTTCTTCCACTGTTAGAGGGAAAAAACTCAAGTGATTGATTCCGCCGGCGCCGCATTCGCGCACACAGTTAAGCATTGCTACCTTGACAATGCAGCATGTTCTTTATCATAATAAAATAGTCAGTCAAACATATGGAAAAAACACACTGCTCAGTTTAAATACGTAGGTAGTAAAATCTGTGCCATTAAGTGTTATCACCGTACCGCCGTGAATGATGTTATGCAAAACATTTTGTTTTACATGGAATTTAGAAGTGTGAAGTACATAATATTTTGCCATTCAAATACATCGCGAATACGAAAACATTTGATTTTGTGTGGAATGAGAGACCCAACGTTGGTTTCAGTTTCGTTTAAGCCTAAATTAATTCGTTTTGGCTTGTCGTTTCTATAGCTATAGCTTCTTACATTTTTAATTCTTGTTCTTTTCTAAATACTGTTAATTGAAAGGATTTGTTGTGGAGTGAGGGGAACTAAAATAGCCTAGCTATGTTTACGGTATTTATCATAATGTTTGTAAACATTTCGTGCCGGCATTAGGCCTATTCTGAATGAAATAGTAAAATGCGACTAAAATAATTTTATTTATACACGTAGTGCATTTCAACCATGCAGCAAACCTTTTTAAATATTTTGATATACTAAAAAAAAAAAAAATTAAAATAAAAACAGACTGATACAGGTGGGTGCAGATCTTGCTTTCTTCATAAACTATCTGAAACAATGAATCTGCTGAAGTGAATCGCACACTGCTTGAGTTAGTAGCATCACTAGTTTAGGCAACTTTTGCTCTCAGTTTGGCAAAAACATTTTCAGAGGAGCACTAGGAGGCTGGAATGAAGACTAAAGCAGTTGAAATGGTTGTTTTGTAGCTGTTTGCTCATGAGGCGCTGAAGGCTCTCCAGATGAAAGGTGTGATCTATGAATGCATCTCTCACATACTGCACATGATCTTAGTGATGATGACGTCAATAATTCAGACACGTGTTTTCTCATTGGATAAAGACACGCAGTCTCATGAGTAATAATGAGACACTGATGAGGCAGAGAAGCACTAGAATGTGAGAAATGTCACATCCTGATGAAGATGAAAACTGAGCAAAAGAGCTCTACGTGATTCTCCTATGATTAAAATGAATGCATGCTAACATCGTCTTTAACGATGTTCAGTGTAGTTTAGTGCTCCGCAGCCAGACGGCTCACTCACGGATGTCGTCCTCGTGGTAGATGACGGAGTGGAACGGGACGTTCTTGTCCTGCAGGTATCTCTCGACCGGCTCCACGTAATACGTCCCTCGATGGGTCTGAATGAAGCCCTCGAACTTCCCGTCCACGACCGAGCCGTGCGTCAGAGAGCCCTGTTCACCTGAGGAGAGACGAATCAAACCTCACTAACTCACGAGAAGAGCCGGATCTCCGGTCAGCACAGCCAAACCAACCAGATTCATTCAGCTCCGCAAGACTGGTTCATGTTTCTGAGAGAGTTTCTTTTGCTCACCGAGGCTGCTTTTATTTGATCAAAAATACAGTAAAATCTGTGAAATATTATTACATCACACAGCTGTTTTCTTTGTAATTTATTTCTGTGATCAAAGCTGTATTTTCAGCATCATTACTCCAGTCTTCAGTGTCACATGATCTTCAGAAATCAGTATAATATGCTGATTTGCTGCTCGAGAAACATTTCTGATTATTATCAATGTTGAAAACAGTTGTGCTGCACAATATTTTTGTGGAAACTGTGATACATTTTTTTTCAGGATTCACAGATGAATAAAGTTCAAAAGCACTTATTTGAAATAGAAATTTGCTGTAACATTATAAATGTCTTTACTGTCACTTTTGATCAGTTTAATGCATCCTCGATGGATATAAGTATTGATTTCTTTCCTTGAAGGGTGTGTAAACACACTGGGATTCATTAAGTATAATGCTCACCGTACAGTTCTCCGGTGTAGATGTGCGAGGTGTCGTAATCCAGCTGCTCTCCAGACATCTCCAGCTTAAAGCCGTCTGAAAACAGCCTGCTGTCTCGCTTCATTCGGAGGCTGAAATGTCTGAGATGGAAACAAGCAGCAAAAAGAGATGAACACACACACATCACAGGACGAGAGACGGTCACATGACCTCAGCTCTACTGTCACTCAGACCCTGACAAATCACTGATACGACCCACAGAGGGACAAATCCACTGACTTCTATTCTCTCTCAGAAACACAGGCTCAAAGCTGTCACTGGGGCAGCACTTTTTCATTAGGTTCATCATCACTGTACCTCATTTAGTTCTGAACGGTCTGCACTGGTCCCTAAAGGATACTGATCAGTCCATAAATATACACATTAGTACTTTAGTAAAGCTGCCGCCCCGGTGACAGCTTTTGTACCTGTGTTTCAGAGAGTGTTGAGACTGAAAAACCCAGAGTTCAACAGAAATAATGTAGATCTAGTGTACGGCCATCAGATCTCTCAATGCTGCTGGATAAATTCTAAACAAAAGCCATTTCTCATCATATACACTGCTGTTCAAAAGCTTGGGATCAGTGAGATTTGTAATGTGTTTTAAATAAGTCTCTTCTGCTTAAGCCTGCATTTATTTGATCAGGAATACAGTAGAAACCGTAATATTTATATTTATACCGTATATAATCATTACCATTTAAAATAATGGTTATCTATTTCAATATAGTTCAAAATGTAATTTATTTCTGTGATCAAAGCTGTATTTTCAGCATCATTACAGCATTGCATCATTTTCAGCAGTGTCTTCAGTGTCACATGATCTTCAGAAATCATTATAATATGCGAAGTCTCTTCTGCTTAAGCCTGCATTTATTTGATCAGGAATACAGTAGAAACCGTAATATTGTGAAATATCATTACCATTTAAAATAATGGTTATCTATTTCAATATAGTTCAAAATGTAATTTATTTCTGTGATCAAAGCTGTATTTTCAGCATCATTACAGCATTGCATCATTTTCAGCAGTGTCTTCAGTGTCACATGATCTTCAGAAATCATTATAATATGCTGATTTATTATTAGTGCTGGAAACTGTTGTGCTGCTGAATATTTTTGTGGAAACTGGGATATTTTTTCAGGATTCTTTGATGAATAAAAAGTTAAAAAAAGAAGAGCATTTATTTGAAATAGGGATCTTTTCTAACAATATACACTACAGTCCAAAAGTTTGGGGTCAGTATTTGTTTTCTTTTTTTGAAAGAAATGAATACTTTTATTTAACAGGCTGTGTTCAATTGATAAAAAGTGTCAGTTTCTAATGTTTAGGTTTCAAATAAATGCTGTTCTTCTGAACTTTCTATTCATCTGTAAATCCTGAAAAATAAAATGTATCAGTTTCCACAAAAATATTGTTCAGCACAACTGTTTTCAGCATTGATAATAATCAGAAACGTTTGTTGAGCAGCAAATCAGCATATTAGAATGATTTCTGAAGATCATGTGACACTGAAGACTGGAGTAATGATGCTGAAAATACAGCTGCGCATCACAGGAATAAATTACACTTTTAACAGATATTCACACAGAAAACAGCTATTTGAAATTATAAAAATATTTCACAATTGTACTGTTTTTACTGTATTTCTGATCAAATAAAGGCAGGCTTGGTGAGCAGAAGAGACTTTTTTAAAAACACATTAAAAATCTTACTGATCCCAAGCCTTTGAACGGCAATGTGGATTAACAATCAGATAATTATCATGACGAGATCAGACAAGCGGACTCTTTTAGCATTTATAAATCTTCTCTTGAGCTTTTATGTGATTATTTTGTAATTGTTTTTTTTTTTTTTATTACATTCTACTTAAATTGTTCTGATGCGGTTTTAATTTAGCCTTTCAACGTATATGTACTTTACTTTTGTAAAGCGCTTTGAGATGCAGCTTTTAAAGGCTCTATGAAAAATAAAGTTTATTATTATTTAGCTGCGTTCAAGCTGTGTCTGCATTACTGCACGTATGAAACAATAACTATGAGCCGTTCACATCACGTGCAAATAATTTCTGTGATGCCAAGATGGGTCCAAGGTGTTTGAGCAACAGTACACCGATCCCCCGCTGAAGCTCAGACCATCATCAGAAGGGACATGACCCACTGAAGACGCTCCGCTCGTGACTCACCTGCCGTGTGCATGGAACTCCAGCTGCAGCTCACGCTCCTGCAGTGACAGCGCTCTCTTGGCTCTCTGGTGCCGGCTGTGCAGCAGCTCTGTGTCGTACGACAGACCCTCATAGTGCTGGATGTACTTGCTCAGGGGGTTGCCATAGTAACCTGTCAAACCACATGTGACAATGAGCATGCCTGCAATTGGCCCACGGTGATCACATGACTCATTCTTCAGTACAACAAGCTCATTTCACACATAACACACCAGATATCTGCAGTTATAGCAAGGTGAAAGAAAATACTAGCACATCAGCATAAACTGAGGACAAACGTGTGTATGAAACGTCTTCAGATCTTTCATGAAGCCCATCACATATATACAGGATAATAACTAATACAGCACAGTGGAACATGAAAGAAACACATTATTAATTTAATCTAGTACCAGCATGAAGGGAATTCTTATGAAAAGTGTGAGCCGTCAGTTCAACATTAAAAAGCAAAGCTGCCTTCCATTGAGCCGGATTTATTCATGCAGTTCTTGTAATAACACATGTATAAGACAGAATATTACAGGTTTAAAAGCTATGGCTGATGATGGGTTATAATTGCAAAAAACATCTTATTTTAAAAGCATAAAATGCACATCCTCCTTGTACATTCCGGTTCATCTGTATATGTAGCGCTGCACGATTACTCGAATGCGATTGTCATGCGCATTTTGTTAGTAAAGCCGGTTCTGTAAACAGCAGGAAATCATAATCACGTGCTTTCAGATGGAGCAGCATTTACTACACAGAGCCGTAGTTCACTGACAAGTTACGCAAAAAAATAAAAATAAAAATCGCAGAAGATTTTATTGCGCGCTTATGAAATCGAAGAAATCGTTGGCGATAATGACAGCTGTTTGCATAGCTTCTCAGTGAACTACGGCTCTGTGAAGTAAATGCTGCTCAAAGTAAATGCTGTGAAGTAAATGCTGCTCCATCTGAAAGCATGTGGAAATACCACATTTAATAACATGTTTTTACTCCAAACTCACTTCATAACGTCAGTCGAGTGTTTGAAATAAATCCTTCTGTGAGATGTGGTTTCTTACACAGAATAAGGCACACAACATTTCATATTATTTAAGCAGTGATAAAGGCATTGCATTATAAATATACTTTATTTTAGTGTAAATTATAATAATAAGAACTCAGATAAACCGTATATTGCCGTAGTCGTGTGTTTATTAGTCACGTTGAATCAATGAAAGCAGTTGAATCTTCTGTTTATTCAGCTGCAGCGTTTTCTAGGTTTCTTCTGCGAGGCGTATTTGGAGTTTCTCTGGCCTTTGGATGGAGATTTATTGTGTTTAAGTCTACTGTATACTGTCCTGTACTTCAGGCTTCTTTCTTTGTTACCATCTTATTATCTGTTTATTTTTTCTTGTATACTTTAGAAATAATTGCACAGTTTATGGAGCGGACCTGATGTACATTTCACTACTGGTTATATATTCTCTATACAAATAAAAATCTTGAATCTTAAAAGCTTGTTACTTATATAATATACTGGGGGGAAAAAACTTATTTGCCAAAGCAAATGTTCACATTTTCATTAAGTTTAAGTAGAAGAAATAAAATAGCGTAGACTAATCCTCAAATAAAAATGATTTAAAAATCTAATAACAATGGACAAAAAATTACCACAACTTTAAAATGAAAATTCTAAAATGAAAACTACAACAATGCATCAATCACACTGGTGTGTCCATCATATATAACAATATTAATAATATCAACTTTAAATGAATGAAGCAATCATATTGCTGAAATGAAACCTTATTTGAAGAGAATATCTTGTGCATGTATTTTTGCACAGAGCTGCGGAGGACACCGAGCGATGCAGTAAACACACAGTAAACAGCAGTTCTCGGGATGAAGCAGGAGTGTTTATGGGATGAAGCCTCGTCCATCTTACGCTGGATGTGTGTTCATCGTGTCAGCTCTCCTCTACCGGCCGCGGATCCTCGCATCCCTGGGCTCATTTGACTCGTTTCAGCTCAAAGAACCCTTCGGGACCGAATCCGCCGCGAACATCGACGGGAAATCGGCGGATTTGCGGGAATAACGGCCATGCTAGCGTTAGCCGAGGCGCGCAGCATCCCTGAACAAGAGCCGAACCGAACCGCGTCCAAACGCTCGCTCGCTTCCACACACGCACGCACACTCACCTCGAGCGGACCTGAGGGCGCAGAAGAGGCACAGCAGCACCGACAGACGCATGTTTAGCGCATGGATGATGGACGGGCTGGGTTTTATTGTTTACAGCCTCAGCCTCTGGTTCGGGGATTGCGTGCTGACGTCAGACGCACAGAGGCCGTCAGCGAGCCCCTCCCCCGCGCTCAATCGGAGCCTCGCGGTGCTGCGAGAAACCCATTGCATATCATTTACAGAACCAGATTCCAGAAATGAAAGGGGTCATATGATGCAATTAAAATTTTTTCCTTTCTCTTTGGAGTGTTACAAGCTCTTGGTGCATAAAGAAGATCTGTAAAGTTGCAAAGACTAAAGTCTCAAATCCAAAGAGATATTCTTTATAAAAGTTTAGAGTCAGCCACGCCTACCTAAAACGGCTCGTTCTAACACGCCCCCACATGTCTACGTCAGGATGTGGGAAGATTTGCATAACGCGCCCAAATGTTCACGCAAAGAAAGAAGGCGTAACTTTTATTCTCGCTGTAGTATTGTTGCCGCTGCCACCATGTTGTGAAGACGCTGTGTTTTTCGTTGTGAACGCGAAACTACTTTGTTTGGTCTTCCAAAAGAGGACGATATCCGCTTCGTCATGCCTAGAGCTGATCCGTGCTGGTCGCTGAGGGAATAACTGGAGTACATTACATTTTAAAAGGCTAGTACTCAGATTACAGTTACTGTTTTATGGATTACATGATTACATGCTATTCACACAACAGCAGTAAATGATAATGTAGCCTACTGATTCTCCCTAATTATTTTTTCTCTTTTAAATGTTCCTTTCTAAAATATTACTGTGTCATATTGCATTTACTATATTCACAGGTTGTTTAAATAAATGAGCAAACCATGCTTCTGAATTTGAGGAAAAGAGCGTATGAAACATGCTCACTGCTGCTGATGTGAAATCATCTCATGCAGTCACCTGCTGACTCATTTCAGACCCCAACACTTTGATCTCATTGCTGATTTCATGTTTATTCATGTGTGTTCATGTAATGCAGGGATTCCCAAACGTTTTTGTCACCAAAAACCCCTTAAAATAAAATATTTGCTTGAAATATCTCTGAGGAAGTTCATATTCCAATAATTTAACAGTTCGCATGTTTACAGTTCTCTGATGTTGGTTAGGCCACACTGACATTTAGTATTTCAATTATTATTATTATTATCATTTAATTATTATATTTAATTATTGTATCACCTCACAAACCCACCGCAGTTCTGACATTAAACCCAGTTTGGGAAACTTTGCTGTAATGTAATGTTTAATTCATTTTGTGATGCTGACATAAAAATAATTGCATATATTTTCTTTCTTTCTTTCTTTGTTTTTTTTAATATCAATGTGTTACATTTAATGATACGTTTAAAACAAGTTAGATAAAAAGTAATCTAAAAATGTGTCAGAATAAATGACCTAAAATGTGTAACCTAAGTTTTCTTCCTAATCTGTAATCAGTAACAGACAGACATCAGACTCAGAAGTGTATTTTTTCCACAAACTGACTGATTTTTGGAGCAACTCTGTGTTTACATCTTGATGACTTCTTACAGTAACAACATACAGTGAAAAACTGTGATTAAAATTACATGGCAATAAGAATAAGATGCACGTCAACAACATGTAAGCTGAGGTATGAAAGCAAAACGAATTACCAAACCAGCACTAGTTATATAATGTGATCGCAAGTCTTGTGAAATAAGAATGAATAAATATATAAAAAAGTTATTAATTATTAATAATTAATTGAGTTAAGGCTCAAAATAGGGGAAGTCGTGGCCTAATGGTGAGAGAGTTGGACTCGTAACCCAAAGGTTGCGGGTTCGAGTCTCGTACCGGCAGGGATTGTAGGTGAGGGGAGTGAATGTACAGCACTCTCTCCCACCTTCAATACCACGACTGAGGTGCCCTTGAGCAAGGCACCGAACCCCCAACTGCTCCCCGGGCGCCGCAGCATAAATGGCTGCCCACTGCTCCGGGTGTGTGTTCACGGTGTGTGTGTGTGTTCACTGCTGTGTGTGTGCACTTTGGATGGGTTAAATGCAGAGCACTAATTCCAAGTATGGGTAACCATACTTGGCCACATGTCACTTGAAAAAAAAAAATAAAAAATGCTGCAAACACAAGACTAAATTATGTTTTTCAAGAAAACAGTCATGGTTTTAGTGTCTGTCTGTTTATCTGTCTCTGAGCAGCATTAATCAGTCAGTCAAAGACAGAAGCGCCTCTGTGCCACCTTTGCAGTAACTCTGGTGTTAATAGAAAGCACCGTGTACTAATACAAGTGTTTTCTTTATTTCGCTATCTGCTGTTACATATTTAAGGTTATTATAAGCTATAGTTTTTATAAAAACATTTAAGACAGATAATTTATTCTTTGACATGTCTAGAACGAGTTGAAGGATGTTCACATCCATTTCTCCACAAAAAGGGTTTTCCTCCAACTCTTGAGCTTTACTTTTATCAAGCCATTAAAAACAGCAACAAGAAGACAGATATGAGTTTCCGTTACGTTTTCAGAGCTGTCATTTCAGTGTGCGGAGATTTTTCCCCATATACCTGAACCCAGTTTGGGCTTTTCAGATCTGCACACCTTTTTGTATTTCTAAGAAACACCAGTTTGCAATATCAAGCATAACGGACTGTTTTTGCAAAGCCCATTCATATGTATTAAAGGTCCCATATTGTCAAAACTGAAAATTCCTGGCTTTTTTCATGATAACTGAGGTCTAGGTGCTATGTAGCTACCATATTAGTTTCAAAACAATCAGTCCACAGTAAAATGCACACAGCCTGCATAAAGTAGCTGTGATTTTTCATGAACCGTTGTGACTACCGTAAAAAGTTGACATCAGAACTACACAGTCACCGCCTTCTGTCACCACCCCGTGCACCGCCCACCGTCCCACTCTCCTTTTGCTAAACCCCCAGACAACATCACGTCCATGCCATTGCTGAGCAACAACAACACGGAAACATGTCAAAAAGGTTAACTTTAACCACGAAACCAGATCGGCCGACCTGTGACGTTACACTCTCACTCAAAGGATGGACGATCTGACAGGATTGTTACTATGAGGTGATCACATCTAACGTGTATAGTAAAGACAATCTCGCCAATCAGAAGAGAGGCTCATGAATATGAATTAGTCTGGCCAAAATCGACCTGTTCTCAGCAGAGCTCCTGAGAGAGGAGCTGTAAAAAATATATTGAGATGGTTTTTGGTACTTATACTGCAAATATATACTCTTAAGGTCATCAAAACCTAAAATAAAACTCCAGAAAGGTGTAAAATATGGGACCTTTAAGAATTGTTCCGCTTTCACTGGCATCGTTTTTTTTTTTAAGTCCTTATAACTACCAAAAATGTATTAATTTTCAAGATTTTTAACCCTTTAAATGACAGTTTGTTTACATAACACGGTTGTTTTTATGAAAAAAATATTTTGCTTATACTTAATGCGAAGTATGATTAAAAATTACATTAATTTTGATGCATTTTTTGTGCAGTGTTATATTAAAAAAATGTATAAACCACACTCATATCCACACCAACACACCCACCGAATTATGATTACAAACTCTCAATCTAATTGGTGTTTTTTTTTTCAGCAGACGCAGAAATGCGAGCGTTTGCTCCATGAGCCAAACATGAGAAAACAGTGCCATCACGTGGAGGGAAAAATAGTAACAATGTTAACAAAGGCTGCGTGATTCTGCTCTTAAATGGCACTGGGATTAAATATTGCAGTTTCAATGGCTTCGAATGGGCACATTTTTGCCCTGAAGGTCCAGAGTGTGGCTATATTTTATTTTGTTTGTATACCTACTGTAAAAGAGATTTAAGAAAGAAAATGAGGGCAATATATATATATATTAAAACAACACATGCAGGTCCATGTTGTTTGCACAATGATCAATAAAACAAAAAAGACAAGAATATCCCTGAAGAGCACAAGGTTAACCCTTAGGCTGCGGGTCTGTTTGATCCTCATGGCTTTTTGAGTTGTTGGAAAGACTGTTTAACCGATTTTTTTCTTGATATTTAGAGTTATGAACATATCAACACTCGGGTGTGTTGAGCAAGGGTGTAACTTTGGTTTGAGAAGTGGGGGGGACACAAAATGGGGGAAAATGTTTTCGATTTGAATCCCATTTCCTGCATGTACATACATTTAGGGACTATGGTGATACAAAATCCCGGAAATAATTAAGTTGATTAATGATCAATTCTGCCAAAAAGTATAGTAGGCTACTAAACTATGAATAAGAAAAAGATGTCTTACTTTCTTTATTGTTTAATAGGGGTCGATCGCCAAGACTTGAGAGAATCATTTTATAAAGTCGAAAATGTTCACCATTAATGTTTTGAATAATGTTTAAATAATGTGAGACTGTTAAACAAACCTTTATTTCAAACTAACCGCTGTACCTGAAAATATAAAATAAATCACTTGTTGCACAGGACAGAATGTTCTACATCAGTGGATCCCAGACTTTTTAGAGTGGAGTACCCCCTGAGGCATTTCTGCCTAGGCCTACCCCCTCTCTTCCACTTAGACTGCACCTTTTCCATTAAAGGGGTCATATGATGCGATTTCAAGTTTTCCTTTCTCTTTGGAGTGTTACAAGCTGATTGTGCATAGATAAGATCCCTAAAGTTGCATAGACTAAAGTCTCAAAACCAAAGAGATATTCTTTATCAAAGTTAAGACTCTGCCACGCCTCCCTAAAACGGCTTGTTCTAACACGCCCCCACATATCTACCTCACTATAGGCCCTTTTGCACTGCTTTAGTTCCAGAAGTACTGGGACGATTTTGCCTGAACTATTTCCCAGTACCATTTAAAGGGTTGCATTCACACCGAGAGTATGTACTAAGAAGTGACGTAAGCCGGTTGACAGCGACGTCATTTGTGCACGGCGTTCAACAACAGAAACAAAGAACTACGTTAACAACAGGAGGATGGAGGACGCTGTGATCGGAGCTGTGTTTTTGTTGTGTCTCATGGGTTTCACAATAATGGACATGGAATATTGACGTATATGTAAAGCGACTGAAAGAACGGAAAGGAGGACTAAGAATCTCCAAAGACAACTGGCAGTGCTACATTTGCTACAAGTGCCTGCACTTCAGCGTCCGTCCATCTATCGCTGTTCTCCATACTTGTGAAATAAGTTGACATGCTCACAGTATGTTTACACAGAGTTTTAAATCATGGCGGGTGAGGGCGTTTTCGTA